AAGTTGGCGGCAGTGGATCTTACACAATAGGGTCGGTACGACCTCTAATATAGGCTGGCGGCAGTGGCTTTTACGCATTAGGATCGGTACGACCTCTAAAATAGGTTGGCGGTAGTGGCTCTTACGCATTAGGGTCGGTACGACCTCTAATATAGGCTGGCGGCAGTGGCTCTTACATTACGGTCGGTACGACCTCTAAAATAGGCTGGCGGCAGTGGCTCTTACGCATTAGGGTCGGTACGACCCCTATTATAGGCTTTATTTTCCCCTCGTTAAAGACTTTTTTGAAGTTTTGTGTTCGCCCGGCTCTTCGACAGCTCGATAAGAGCCTCGATTGTGAGTCGTTATGTAGCGATAAATGAGCACCTCGGGAGGTTTCTCTCGGTGGCTGAGTGTTTCGAAGTTTATAGTTTGGAGCTAACATGGTCGAAGCTCTTTTGCTTATGCCGAGGGTAGCCTGTTTAACCGGTTCTTTTCGAAGTATTTTCGAAGTAATTGAAGGCCTGTGATTTTATAGCGATGGTCGGGCGTCCCCGAGTCGCGTTAGTTTGGCAGGAGCCTTATGACCCTGGTCATTTTTAATTCCCGAATGAAGTAGTTTTGGCGTCTATACCGAAAGTATGCCTTTTTAGGGGTCTTACAAGTTCGAGTATATAGCCTTAACTTTAAGGTCAGGGTAATGCCTTTTGTAAGGTCTTACGTTTTGGTTACTTCGTACAAGTATAGTTCATGCCTTGCTTGAGGTCTTACAGATATTGTTACTTGGTACAAGTATAGTTCATGCCTTGCTTGAGGTCTTACAGATATTGGTGTTGCCTTATATAGGTCTTATGAGACCGAGGTTGCCCACATGGGGTCTTATGGCCTTGGGTTTTTGATAAGTTGATGAGGTGGCGATTGGCGATAGTCCCCAAGATATAAAGGGTTTCTCGACGCCAGTCCCCGAGTGTTCGGGACGTTTTTGGCTCTGGAGTCATTTTTGCACACTTGGAATTGCCTCATTAAGGGCTTATGATTTCGAAGCTTTCGACCCGGAGGTCATATGGCTTTGAGTTTTTGACTCCAGTCCCCGAGTGTTTCGGGACATTTTTGGCTCTGGAGCCGTTTTTCTGAATTTAAAATTGCATCATTGAGGGCTTATGAGTTCGAAGCTTTTGACCCAGAGGTCATATGGCTTCGTGTTTTTTACGCCTGTCCCCGAGTGTTTCGGGACATTTCTTGCTCTGGGGCCGTTTTTGCACACTTGGAGTTGCCTCATTGAGGGCTTATGAGTTTGAAGCTTTCGACCCGGAGGTCATATGGCTTCGAGTTTTTGACGCAAGTCCCTGAGTGTTTCGGGACATTTTTGGCTCTGGAGCCGTTTTTGTAAAAAAAAATGGCAAACTTCTTTGAAACGTGAAATGCTTTGTCGGAGGGGATCGTATTCTTTGATTACATGGCACAAGTATACATGTTTTTGTTGTCAAGGGCTCGATTGTTCTATATGGACTCGGTTCGTTTGACCGTTTGGCCCGGTACATCGTTTTCCTATCGAGATCCCATTTAGCACATCTTGGCTTCTCCAGGGAGGTGACCTCTCGGGGGGATGCCCCCTCCCCCCCCCCCCCAATATTCAGGGTTGATTGAAGAGAAGTCTTGAATACTTGTTGAGTCTTCTTTAGGTAGCATATAGATGTTGCCTCGTTAAAAACTTTGCCGGTAAAACCCTTTTTGGGACGAAAACACGGTCGAAGGAAAAGAGTGCGATGCATGTTTCTGAAACCTAAGGCCTTAAAGCTTTTAGCAGTAATAGCGTTTGAGCATTGATACATTCCAATTGCTTGGAAGCTGTTCGTCTTCCATGGTGCCGAGTTTGTAGGATCCTTTGCCAACTCCCCCGAGGACGCGGTACGGTCCTTCCCAGTTCTGACCTAGCTTTCCTTCATTAGGGTTTCGAGTGTACAAGGTGACTTTCCTTAGGACTAAGTCTCAGATTCCAAAATGTCAGAGATTTGTTCTTCTGTTATAGTATCTTTCAATCCTCTATTTTTGTGCGGCCATTTGGACCAGCAAGGATTCTCGCTTTTCATCCAATAGTTCGAGAGCAGCAGTCATGGCCTCATTGTTTGAGCTCTCGGTGGCGTTTCGGAATCTGGCGGTTGGTTCTCTGACCTCGACCAGTATCAAAGCCTCGGCGCCATATACCAGAGAAAGGTGTTTCCCCCGTGCTTGATTTTGGAGTTGTTCGATATGCCCATAGCACTTCGGGTAATATTTCTCTCCATCTTCCCTTTGCGCTTTCCAACTTCTTTTTTAGGCTTTGAATGATGGTTTTATTCGTGGACTCAGCTTGGCTGTTTGCACACGGGTGGTAGGGCATCGACAGGATTCTCTTGATTTTGTGGTCCTCAAGGAACTGAGTCAATTTGCTTCCGATAAATTGCTTCCCGTTATCACTTGTTATCTCGGAAGGAATTCCGAATCGGCACATGATATGGTCCCAGATGAAATTAATGACTTCTTTTTCTCTTATCTTTTCGAAGGCATGTGCTTGAACCCATTTTGAGAAGTAGTCAGTGATAAATAAAATAAATCTAGCTTTACCTAGCGTCGTTGGTAGAGGTCCGACGATGTCCATCCCCCATTTCATGAACGGCCATGGTGACAAAACTGAATGTAGCTGTTCACCGGGTTGGTGAATCATTGGGGCGAATCTTTGGCACTTGTCGCATTTGCGGACAAATTGTTTGGTGTCCTTCTCCATGCTGTCCCAATAGTAGCCTGCTCTGATTATTTTTTGAATTAAGGAATCGACGCCGGAGTGATTTCCGCAGGTGCCCTCGTGGATTTCTCGGAGCACATAATCTGTGTCTCCCGGCCCCAGACACACTGCTAGAGGGCCATGAAAAGTTCTTCTGTAAAGAGTTTTATTTTCGTTGAGCGAGAATCGGGCTGCTTTGGTTTGCAGGGGCCTCGACTCTTTAGGGTCTGCGGGTAGCTTCCCACTCTCTATATAATCAATATATTTGTTTCTCCAATCCCATGTCAGGCTAGTGGAGTTGATCTCGGCATGGCCTTCTTCGATCACTGATTTGGATAATTGAATAACAGCCCCGGGGAGTATGTCATCTTCCTCGACAGATGATCCCAGCTTTGCGAGGGCATCAGTTTTGCTATTCTCTTCTCGAGGTATGTGGACCAGAGTCCATAATTTGAAGCGGTGCAATGTGACTTGCATTTTGTCTAAGTATCTTTGCATCCTGTCTTCCCGAACCTCGAAGCTGCCATTTACCTGATTTACAACTAGGAGGGAATCGCATTTTGCTTCGATGACCTCAGCTCCTAGACCTTTGGCCAATTCCAGACATGCAATCATAGCCTCATACTCGGCTTCATTGTTAGTTAACTTTGCGGTTTTTATAGATTGTCTAATTATGCCGCCCGTAGGTGGTCTCAAAACTATGCCGAGCCCAGACCCTCTTACGTTCGTGGCGCCGTCAGTGAACAGGGTCCATATCCCAGAAGATGTGCCCGCTTTTAGCAAAAGCTCTTTCTCGACCTCGGGTACGAGGGAGGGAGTGAAGTCAGCTACGAAGTTTGCCAAAATTTGAGATTTGATAGCCATTCAGGGCTGATACTCGATATCATATCCCCCGAGTTCGATGGCCCATTTGGCCAGTCGGCCTGATAATTCTGGTTTATGCAATATGCTTCGAAAGGGATATGTTGTTAAAACGCAAATATGATGGCATTGGAAGTAAGGTTTCAATTTTCGAGACGCACTTATTAATGCAAGAGCTAGTTTTTCCAGGTGCGGATACCTGGTTTTGGCATCACCCAGGGTCCGACTTACATAATAAACAGGGAATTGCGTACCTTGTTCTTCTCGAACCAGTACACCACTTACCGCTATCTCGGATACGGCCAGGTATAAATACAATGTCTCATCCTCTTTTAGGGTGTGGGGCAAAGGCGGGCTTGTTAGGTATCGCTTCAACTCCTCTAAGGCGCGTTGGCATTCCGGAGTCCATTCAAAGTTTTTTTTCTTTTTGAGCAAGGAGAAGAAATGGTGACTCCTGTCTGACGACCTTGATATGAACTGGCCCAAGGCTGCTATCCGCCCGGTCAGCCACTGCACGACCTTTACGTTATTTACCACTGTAATTTCTTCGATGGCTTTGATTTTGTCAGGGTTGATCTCGATTGCTCTGTTCGATACCATGAAACCTAAGAATTTGCCCGATCCTACCTCGAAGGTGCACTTCTCGGGATTGAGTTTCATGTTGTAACTTCTGAGGATGTCGAATTTTTCCTGCAAATGAATCAAATGGTCCTCTACGCACAGGGACTTAACTAGCATGCCGTCAATATAAACTTCCATGGACTTGCCTATTTGATGTTCGAACATCTTATTAACTAGGCGTTGGTATATGGCCCTTACGTTTTTTAGCCCGAAGGGCGTTACATTGTAACAGTACGTACTGTACTTTGTGATGAATGAAGTCTTTTCTCTATCCTCGGGGTTCATCTGAATTTGATTATACCCCGAATAGGCATCGAGAAAAGTGAGGGTTTCATGGCCGGCCGTGGCATCGATCAAACGGTCGTTGTTGGGCAGTGAGAATGAGTCCTTTGGGCACGCCCTATTTAGATCTTTATAATCTATGCACATTCTTAGTTTATTCCCCTTTTTGGGAACTACCACTACATTGGCCAGCCATTCGGGATATTTTACTTCCTTAATAGACCCTATCTTGAGGAGCTTCGTTACCTCATCTTTGATGAATGCATGCTTTAACTCGGACTGGGCTCTCCTTTTTTGCTTCACCGGTTTTGTACCTGGGGTCGACACTTAGTCGGTGGGTGGTTACCTCATGTGGGATCCCTATCATGTCTAAATGGGACCAAGCAAAGCAATCAATGTTGTTAATAAGGAATTGAATGAGTTTTTTCCTGAGTTCGGGGGTTAATCCCGTGCCCAGGTATACCTTCCAATCTGGGAGATGCTCGATCAATACGGCTTACTCCAGTTCTTCAATAGTCGACTTTGTTGCATCCGATTCTTCGGGGGCAATGAAGGTTCTGGGAGCGAGGAAATCCTCTTCATCATCCTCGGGGGTTTGTTGGCTTTCCAACTCTTCTGAGGTGGAGTGTACAGAATTCGGTACCTCTTCATGGACCGCGAATATTTCTTTCACCGCATGTTGCTCTCCATACACTGTCTTTATTCCGTCCTTTATTGGAAACTTCATCATCTGATGCAGGGTCGATAGTACCGCCTTCATGTTATGTATCCATGGCCTACCGAGCAAGGCATTGTACCTCGCGTCACCTTTAATGACGTGGAATCTGGTATCTTGAACTGCATTGGATATGTTAACCGGGAGGGTGATCTCTCCTTCTGTTGCTTCGCCGGCCATATTGAAGCCGTTGAAGATTCGGGAGGTAGGTATGACCTGATCGAGTAATCCGAGCTGTTCTACCACCGTAGATCTAATTACGTGGGCCGAGCTACCTGGATCCATGAGTACACGTTTAATTTGGATGTTATTTAAGAGAAACGAGATTACCAGCGCATCGTTGTGTGGATGAGACAGAGTCTCGAAGTCTTCTTCACTGAACGCGAGGATGTCCTCAGATGCGCGGCCCGGGTTTGCCCTTGCGTTACCGCAAAAACCCTTATCCGCTTGATCACGGGCCCATGGGGAACGTCGGTCCCCCCGATAATCATATGAACGATGTGCTGAGGTTTTCCCACTTCGCTTCCCCTGTTTGCCTCTCTTTCTTCCCGGGTGAGGTTTTTCCTAGTGTCTTGTTGATTTTCTCGGCGTATACTCCTGTTGGTGTGGGAACTTACGCCAATGTGTTGAGTGTTGCATGAGACCATATCGACGGGAATCGGTTGTGGTGCAATCTCAGGGTTTTGTGGTAGTACACCATTACCTGGAATAGCTGCACCATACTCTCTATGGTCTTCGAGACCGTTGTTGTCATGTGCGTTTACTGAGTTAGACATTTTGACTTGAAATCAAAGATTCTTGGACAAGAAAAAGTGTGAAAGATAACTTGCGTTATGTAGTAAACCATCAAGAAAACAATCACTATTATTCTTAGCTCCACGGTGGGCGCCAAACTGTTTACCTTGAAAATGGTAATAATAATTAGATTTGATTCTGTGGTTCTAAAAATATGTGATCTATTTTTATGCTAGTTGTTAGGCAATAGATGCTAAGTGAAAGATTAGAAAATAAGATAATAGCTTGTAGACAGTGTAATAATCAAACCGAATGGCTGGAAATCAGGGCCTCAAGCTTGCGTATACGGGGCCTCGAGGTCGAGTCGGATGCCCGGCTAAGGCGAGTCAATAGAGGATTAACAGTTATGATAAATTTGATGGCGGCTCTTTATGACCAATAATGAGTAATAAATGAAGAACAATTAATGAAATGTAATAAATATAAGTAAGACAATAAATGTAAGCAATAAGATCAAACAGAGAGCAGTTTGAGTTAGAGAGCAGAGAATGTTCTTGTATTGGATGTAGTGTGTAGTATCTTGTCCCCCTTACAAAAATGACAAGGGTCCCCTTTATATATGAGGGGAAAATCCCAATATGACACATGCGTAATTATTTCATAAAGTAACTGGTACAACCACTCAATCAGCCTGGTGCAAGCTGTCACTGTTTGTGCAGATATTGTCAGAAAAATACTGCTCCTAGGGAACTTCCCGCTTACTTGTGATAACCCCCGGTTCATTCTGCCCCGACATCGGGCACGAAGAACCCTCGAAGATTTTGAACCCCGAGCTATTCTCCAGGCCCTTCGAGGTGAAATTACGTAATGCCTTCGCCGATCGTGAAATTGGTCTTTCCGATTTTAGCCGCATACACAACCGCCGCAATATTTTACTCAAAGAAGTTCTAAGTTGATTAAATAATGAAAATGCGGGGGTTAAATTGCCGCTAAATCAACCGCCGCTAATGATACCAGCGGTCACGAAAAACCCCCGCAAATTGATTTCAGCGATCGATATTGCAAGGGTTTCCAAAACCGCCTCGATAATGATTTGTGGGGGTTAATGACCCCTGCAATTTGTAAATTTAACCCCCGAAAATAGCACTTTTTTTGTAGTGATTCTAAAAAAATGTTGTTGAGATGATAGGACCAAATTATATAGATGATACTAAACCTTCCTATAGTAACACTCATGTAGACATCAAAATTTTAACGGATGAAGCTAAATCCAACTATCAAGATACTACAAGACAATTCTGAAATCTTAGGAGTCTATTAGGGTTGCTTGGAGGTTACTCTACCAAAATTCTAAATTGGAGGCTACTTTATCCTAACCCTGGGTCACTCCTATAAAAAGGGTTACCTATCCTCTTAAAAAGGCATCTCAAAAAATTGGAGGTCATCTCAACAACTTCATAAAATCTCGGAATATGCAAAGAAAGATCAAATATACAATCTCCGAAATTGCATAAAACTCTAGGAATATTCAGTAAGAGATCAGAGACATGTCAAATATGACTTGCTCAAAGTTCTAGCAACATTCAAGATCCAAATGGAGTGTTGTTGCTACATGCTTCTTGATCATCAAATACATGAAGCAGATGCATATCATCCTACGTTCGAGAAATACGCCTAAGGCCCTCGAATTAAGGATAACAAATTGGAGGGAAGAGTCAAGGGATAAACAGAGTTTTACCCGCAATATTTATCAATAAAATTCTTTTTTCCTTATAGTTGTTTGTGATTGCAATTTTATTTTCCTGCACAAATTTGTTGCAAACAACTCAATCCCAAATACCCTTTTTTTCTTTAGGGAGTAGTCCTAAATTCAAATTGCAAATTCATTATTCCGTTTCTATCATTTCCTGTATATACGTGTCGTTGTATATTTTTCTCTTTTCAGTGTCTCCGCTCCACTATGTTGTTGCATTTACTAGTGAAACCCTTGGATTGTTGGGAATGTTATGACTGAACTTAATGTTATAATACATAAAATATTTTCACATTGTACATGAGCTAGATTAAAGAGAGATCGATAGCGGTTGGCTAACATAAACATCGTTTAACTGAGATGAATTCTCCAAAATACTGAACGAATTTAAATATACAGCTAATGTTAGCTACTTGAATTGAACAGTAGTAGATGATGTTCTTCGGTAAAAATGTAATGGAACTCTATTACGTGGTTAATTTACTTTTGTAACTGTAATGCATGTTACCTTTCTAAAGAGGATAAAATTTTACTATAAGCTTTTCTTCCTTTTACTTTTATAACCCTTCTTTGTGTGAAGAACTAGAAAGGTAAATCTTCTACTAGTTTAACTTTCAACTCTTCCGCTATGCAAAAGATATTGTGGTAAAAAAGAAAAATAGCGACTTATGAGAGGGTTGGAAAAATAACTCAACGAGCTCATCCAAAACACTGCAGATTGTGACTGAGTGTCATTATTTCAACTACATGCATTGATTGTAAGGCTGAGCTAGCAATATATATGTACAATGTCCTCAGATAAGGTTTACTTTCATCAATGCTAGCTGTCCTAAATCTCAACCAATGCTTTTATCCTCCTTGTTGTTGCCCTTTTCATACCTTCAATCAAACGCACGCCAAAGTAGTGTTCCATTTCTCCCTAATAATAGAGGCAACAATTTCTGTGACTACAGACTACAGTTCATGAAGGAGACAAGATGAATTCTTTACGGGGTTCCAGCCAAACTTGCACCAACCTCGACTAATTTTATAGGGTACCTGCTACCGGAAGGAGACAAAGTTATTATGTGGCCGGTCTCTCTCAAAAGATAGAACTTTCCTATTCATACTACTTGTTCTCACCGAAGGGGAGCCTCAGCGGTAAAATTGCTGTCATGTGAACAGAAGGTCACGAGTTCAAGCCATGAAAACATCCTCTTGCAGAAATGCAGGGTAAGACTGCATATAATACACCCTTGTGGTCCAGTTCTTCCCCGGACCCCGCGCATAGGGAGAGCTTAGTGTATTGGAAAAAATTGAGTTTACATATTAAAGTGGTATAAAGATGACGTGTGATGACACGTAGATTGATCAAAGAGTTATGATTGGCAAAGAGGCACGAGTTGCAACAGATACGAGCAAAGGCATAGAAAGAGGCACGAGCAGTTATTCTAAAGACTCAACGCCCGTACCTATTTAAGTCCAAGAATTAAGGAGAATGAACCTGACAGTACAAAGGAGTACAGATACAGTATTTAATGAGCCTTAAATACTAAAAACGTTAGAGGATCTGTATTAAATACAATGATTACGTAACGTAGCATTTAATGTCTTTAATTGTCTATAATAGCCTTATTATGAAAAAGGCAAAACGCATATCTCCAAAATAGCTATAAAAGGGAGAAAATGGATCAATTGTAAGGACACAGAATATCATCTGAATATACTGGTTTACTTCGTTTTCTGCTATCTATTGGTTATCGAAATCCATTTCTTTTATTCATTTCCGATTATCAGTAACCCAAGTTCTTCTAAAAATAAAGCTTTGACTGAAATCCTATTTTTCGGTTAAACAAATTGGTTCCGTTACCGAAAATCTGATAATCTATTCTTTCTTAACCTTATCTATTTCGTTACATCAACAATCATGTCAAATGTTAACGATAACACTCAGGGAAACCAAGGAAATCAAGGAAACCATCAACTTCAAGGGGATCCACAAGATGTTCACACTCCGATCCCTTCTCTACAAAGTTCGCCTCATCGATCTCGAGAAGGAACTCCTGGTGGATCTCACTCAAATGCAAATACTCAGTTTAACAACGATGAAGCTGTCAATGAAGCTTTGCAGCAGTTGATCGCTCAACAGGTCAATAAAGCTCTTGAGACTTTTGCCAGCCAATTACCTGCTGCACCATCAACACCAGTTCCAAATACCAACACTTTAGAAAACCCTCGTTCTGGGATTGTTAATTCAAGCAGTGGTGGAATCCCCAGTGAATCACGAGAGAGAGAACCAGGTAATGTAGTCAATTCCGATTTACAAAATTTAGTTCTAACATTGCAGAAACAGCTTAAGGAGCAAAGTGACCGCATAGAGCAAATACCTGGAGTACCGCCAGTAATCAAAGGAATAGATATGGATAAATATTCACAGCAACCTTGGAAGCCAAGCGCTGCTCCTTTACCAATTCCAAAGAAATTCAAAGTGCCTGATATTCCAAAGTACGATGGAACAACTGATCCACGAGACCACGTGACTGCATTCACAACTGGTGTAAAAGGCAACGATTTTACCAAACAAGAAATTGAATCAGTATTGGTCAAAAAATTCGGAGAAACGCTCACTAAGGGAGCATTAACATGGTACTCTCTTTTACCCGAAAATTCTATAAATTCTTTTGCTGAGCTTGCAGATTCATTTATCAAAGAACATTCGGGAGCTCAAAAAGTCGAAAAGAGAATGGAGGACATTTTCAAAATAAAACAAGGGGACTCTGAGTTGCTCAGAGAGTTCGTGGATAGGTTCCAGCGTTAA